TAGTCCTTAATATTTACACATTATATTGATTTAGTAACTATTTTAATTCAATTAATTAGATTTAGTCCTCTAATCCGGAGGTACTATGTGTCACTATATAATTAGAGGATGAATTTAATTAATTTTGATATGTTAATTAATTTTCCCACCAATTAAGTGGTGACACATTTCACTACCTGTGTAAAGGGAAAACGTATTGGAATATAAGTGCATTTATATACTTTGCTTGATTATTTCACACAAATATATATATATTAAATTATTAAAAAATCTAATAAATAAATTATATTTCACATATATATTAAATTATTGTCAATGAAATATTTAACAATAAAAATGAGTTTAATATTTTTATTTTTAAGTTAAATTATTTTTATTTTGTGATTTGGATTCCCTAAATAATTTTAATATAATTTTTATTTTTAATATAATTTATATATTATTATTTAAAAATAATTGTAAAAAATAATTTAAATAAAATATTAAATTTATTTTTATTTTGTGATTTGGATTCTCTGAATAATTTTAATGAAATTTTATTTTTAATGTAATTTATATATTATTATTTAAAAATAGTTGTAAAAAATATTAAACTTATTTTTAATTTTAAGTATTACATTGACTATAATTTAATATATATGTGAAATCTAATTTAATTATTAAAATTTTAATATATATATATATATATATATATATATATATATATATATATATATGTTATATAAAATAATCTCAAACACAATATATAAATGATTATGCACTTCAGAACCAAATATATGACTTTAGTCTATCGGCAAAAGCTTGACTTACCAGGTCCTGTGTATTTATATTCTAATATGTTTTTCCTTTACAAAAGACACGTGTTATCACTTAATTTATTAAAAAATATTTAATTAACATATTAAAATTAATTAAATTCATCTTTTAATTTTATAATGATACGACATTTTTGAATTTGAGGACTAAATTTAATTAATTGAATTAAAATAATAATTAAATTAATATAATATATAAATATTAAAGAATAAATATATAATTATGTCAATTTTATTAACGATTAAAATTAAAGATAAGTGGTATATTTAATTGATGATCATAATTTGATGGTCACCGGTGTAGTTTTCCTAATTCATTTTCCTTCTCTTTTAGACCTGTCTCGTTTATTCTCTTAATCTTTTTCGCACATCTCAAAGAAAACAAAATATCAAAGAAAAAGAGAAGAAATAATATATTTTCAGAAAATGTCGAAACCCTGGGGCCGCATCGGCGCGTGGGCCGCCGAGGCCGAACGAGAAGAAGAGGAGGAACGTGCGGCTGCGGAAGCTGCCGTGCCCACGGCTGAATCTCAGAATTTCCCTAGCCTGAAGGAAGCCGCTAGGGCGAAGCCCAAGAATAAGAAAATGACTCTGTCGGAGTTTAACAAGGGGACTTACTCGTCATCAGGCGGGGGCGGATTGGGTGGTGCTAGGGTAACGGAACAAAATAGGCTGACACACGAAGAGATGATGCTCCTCCCTACCCGGCCCAAAGAACGTTCCTCCGAGGAATTGCAGTATGAACGTCTCGGAGGTGGGTTTTCATCTTACGGAAGGTCAGGTCCAGGTGCGGGTCGGGTATGCGTGACCGTGAAGATAGCGTTGGATCCTGGGGCTCCGGAAGGAGGCAGCACGGAGGTTTTAGTGAAGAACGACGGGGTCCGCCGTCTAAGGTTTCTGATTTTGATCAGCCCTCGCGTGCCGATGAGGTGGATAACTGGGCAATGGCAAAAAAAGTAAGTCCTTCGTTGGATTTGGGCAGGCAAAGTCGATACGGTGGGCTTGGAACTGGAGGAAGTGGTGGATTTTCAAAGGCTGATGAGGTTGATAATTGGACGGCTGGAAAACGGTCAAATCCAACACGATCTTCGACATTTGGTTCAGGTTTTCGTGACTCTGGGCCTGAGCCTGATAGATGGTCCCGAAGTGGTGTTCGCGACCCTGGACCCGAGCCTGATAGATGGTCCCGTGGTGGTAGTGGTGGTGGAGGTGGAATCAGAGAGGACAGGCCTATATTAGTTTTGGATCCACCGCGAGGGGAGGTGAATGAGCTTGTGGTTAAAACAAATAGATCGAATCTTTTTGGGGCAGCAAAGCCCAGGGAAGAGGTGTTAGCGAAGAAAGGGTTGGATTGGAAAAAGCTGGATTCTGAAATTGAAGCTAAGAAGGAAACTAGTAGGCCTACCAGCGCTCATTCCAGCAGGCCATCGAGTGCACAATCTAGCAGGTCCGAAGGTCCCCAGCAGCAAGGGTTTGAAAATGCAATCAAGACTAGGCCAAAAGTCAACCCGTTCGGTGCTGCCAAGCCTAGAGAAGTTTTGCTGGAAGAGCGAGGTCGGGACTGGCGTAAGATTGATCTTGATTTAGACCGTCGCAGGATTGACAGGTTCCATTACATTTCTCTAATCATCTTGCTTATAAATTATGGCAAACTTGTTCCTGTGGGATTTTGCTTGAATTGTGAACTGATTTTGATGTGTTTCATTTAATGTTGTCACTCGTTAATGATGGTTTCAAAGTTCTTACCATATTTGCTTCAGTAAACCGCCTTAGCTGTTGCCACTTTGTCGACATTGCAGATTGGTTTATAGTCCCTAATCCATGGGTATACAATACTATGTTTTCAGTAAGAAATCCTTTATTGCTAGAACTTTGAAGTTGATCTAGTGCAGTTCAATATCATATGATGAATTATATTTAATCTTTTTGGTGGTTTCTCCATTTTACTTTAAATGACTAAATCACATTTTATGTTCAGATTGTTGCCTTGAAGCATGTGAATTTTTTCAATACCACATCCCTCTGTCTATTACATGCAGAGGTTTCAGTTGTTCTTGAGTGAGTGTTTAACTGTTGTGTAAAATACTGTGGTTTGGCAACTCGTGTCTCACTCTGCTTGGACTTGAGTTGTTTTGCGATCTGCATTTTGTTTTTCTTTGTTGGGGGCCGGAGCAGATGGAGTTCTAGGAGACATTTTTCTTTCTGTGCTTACATCTGTATTATACAGCACAGAACTTGATATGTTTAGTATATTAGAAAGTCGGTTTAGCTGCAAACAACAAATTAACTGAGCATATTTTTGTCTGAGCGGATCTTTTCTTCTTATTTGAATTGCATATGGTTACTGAAGTACATGATGAGCATAGGGCTCCATCTTGGAAATGAATTTTTGACTGTAGTTCTGAACAGATGTTTGGCCTCTCAGCCGAGCTTTTGCAGCTTTTCCGTCCATTAAATTTACATGTACTCTTTTATTCTAAAATTTATTTCATTTATGAATACATAACCAACTGAATTGTGACTGGAATATATTCTTGGTTATGTTCCATAAGCATTGGGGCTTGTTGAATGAGAAGCTGTTATTAATTTTTTTTCCATTCTTGGTGGGTTAGGGGTGTGACATTAATACATTATGTTTTTCTTTCCATTTTTGGACCAGGGGATTCTTTCTATTTTAATTTCTTGACAGCTAAGCTTATTTCTTTGCATATTCCTAAATTCAGTGTTGCTGTTAGTTATCTTTGCCACTTGTTGCCTTTGGGTGCATGAAGACAATGAAAAATCACAATCCTTATTACTGTTCAGAAGTTGTTTATGTACTGGAATTGTGAAAGTTTGGAGCATATGCACTGGTAGGTCACATAGGAGGCAGTACCTATTGCCTTCAAATTTGTTTTTTCCGGTTCAAGATTTTAAGGCATGATGGTATTCCTACCCTTTCCTTCCATCAAAGCATTTTTGTTGAAACACTGCTAGGTTTCTACTCTTCTTTGTGGTACTTGAAGTGCTTTGTTTTAGTTAAAATTCATTTTGTTGTCATTCCTCCTGTTGTATCGTTATTGTTTTCATGCTTATATGTGCTTGTTTTTAAGCCATCATGTAATATTTCAAGCTTTGTGCTTCTTTTGCGTGGCTTGATTTCTCCTTCGAGTTAAGTTAATGCAATATCATCTTTCATTCTTTTGCGAGATTATTAATGCAATTTTTTATAAGCCGCTGCCTGCTTATTTATCAATTTACTCTGTGATATTCCATTTTCCTGTGCTTACAGAATGCTTTGCTCTATTGATGTGATTCATTGTGATTTTCATTGTGATTTCCTGTGTAAGACTGTAATCTTTAGATGGTGTCAGATGCTCTAATTGTTCTAATGACTTGCTTGTCGTTGTGTGTCAATTCCATTTTGTTCCTTGTTTGCAAGCAACTTTTGAATATATTGCCCATGCCATTATGTTCTTCATTTCTAATGAGAAAAAAATGTTTCAGGCCGGAAACAGAAGAGGAAAAGATATTGAAGGAGGAGGAAAGGCCTGGTTCTGGTGCTGGCAGGACCGGCAGCTTCCCCGACAGACCTCCTTCTCAGTTTGGATCTATTGATGTCTCTAGAGGTGTGGAGTTCATGGATAGGCCTAGATCTCGTGGTACTACAGATGCATGGACAAGGCCTGGTGATGAGCGAAGAGGATTTAAGGGAGGATTTCAGGGAAACAGAGATGTGGACAGGTAAGGGTATAAAATATCAGCAGTTATATCTCTCATACCTTTACTTCTTTTCGCCCGCTCCCCTTCTTATTTCATTGATATAAATAATATGGAGAATTTGCAAGTTTAAGAGCGTGATATATTATCCCAAGTCCCTTTTCTTGCATCTTTGAAGCTGTTTTTTTTGGGTGAATTAGATACCGAGGTTCGTAAAATGCATTTTTATTCTGTCCCTGTCTAGAACCGATGCATGTTAATCAAATGAAGCATCCACTTTAATTCCGTCTGGTTCCATGATCTGTAGGTCTTCTTTTGCGTCTTATAACTACGTACTGCCATTTGTAGTCATGTCATGCACATTGTAATATTTGCATATAGAAACCAGACAGATGAAATTACGATCTCTTTTGTTTTTTTACTTTTTCTAAATATCGCAGGCCAAGATCAAGGGACAGATGGTGAACCACGATCGGAATTGTTCCATTGAATTCTGTCAAATTAATTTTGACAACATGGACCAATTATATTTTGTTTCCTTATTGTTTATTGCTCTGGTAAAGTGGAGCGAGGATTCTCGAGTATTGGAACAAGGAACTATGCGATAATCTGGGTACTCAGGTAAAAATGGCCTTCCCACCATTTTTCTCCCCTCCCCCCTCGTTTTTGGGTTTTCCTGTAGAGCAAGGAGCTTATATTGGATAGGGACTGGAATTTTGCTTGTGTGATATCCACCAGTTTTATCTTTAATATTCCCATGGAATGTCATAGAGAAGAGTCTAGTGTTGAGGTGGTTGGTGAATTTCAGGCTGTTTTCTTTGCTTTTGCGTGAACCTTTTTATCCTTTTTTTTCTTCCTCTTTCTAGCATAAATCAACTGATGATGTATATTTATTTTTTACAAATGCTGCAAATAAGGAAGTGCTTTCACTCACCGACTTTACAAGCTACAATCACCCCACCTAAATATGGCCTTTATTAGTTGATTTGGTTAAGAGCCACAACACAGTTTTAACACCGTAGTTCTGATGGTATGTACGATATCACTGTTTATAAATTTTAGAAAATAAAATTTCAATATTACTAGATGTGGCATGGGATGGCCAACCCGACTCGACCCGAAAATTTTACACTTTTCACCAGATCCGACTCAAAAAATATATACCCTCCACCCGATCTAATATTTTGAGATAGAATTCGAATGCGATTCAATTCGAAATAATAAAAAATATTATATTTATTCAATAAAAAGTGATTTAATTGTAAAAATAATATATATAAGGGTATTATTGTAATTATAACTAAATATAAGATAAAATTATATTTTTTTCTAGGTCGGGTCGGGTATTTTTTACCTTAAATCCGAATTTAATTCGACTCAAACATCACTTTTAAAAAACAATCTGACCTAAGTTGACTCGAACCTGAATTTTTTTTTAAAACCCGTTGGGTTCGGGTCCCAAGTTTATCTTTGATGTTACTTAACAGAGAAAATTAATGATAGTTACGGTCATGGATTTTATAGTGATAACGTTTGTAATGTTAGGTACGTGTATCAGTTAAAAGTAATTTAGACACATATTCATAAAAATCAATATAGTTTAGACAATTATTTTATAATTAAAAATAAGAAGTCAAAATTTCTTAATAAAAAAGTTTTTTTGTTTATTATATAGTACTCCATATTTATATAGTATATAAGTAGGCCATTCTCATGAGTTGCAAAATCTCACCCTCTCTCTTTCCATTCTTTTAGTTCTACGTATGGCTTGGGGTCAGTCCTCCATTTTAGTTATGGCCATATTTGGCATCTCCCTAGTGAACCTCAATCCACCCTCGGTGGCAATCGCTAAAACCCCTTGTCATTTCCCGGCAGTATTCAACTTTGGCGACTCCAACTCCGACACCGGAGGCTTGTCGGCTGCATTCGGTCAAGCTCCTCCTCCAAATGGAATGTCTTACTTCGGCCACACCGTTGGCCGCTACTGCGACGGCCGCCTTGTCATCGACTTCATAGGTAGGGTACACCACACCTTATCTCTTTCCATTCAAATCGTAGAGCTTTGTTTCACCGTGCATAAACTTTCTCCTCCTCGAGATTGAAATTTCAAAAAAAATTAACATTTTAAATTTAAATATAATTTTGAATTATATTTTTTCTAATTTAAATCTCTCCACCGATGCTTAGGTGCTGTTTGGTTGGCATGAATCTATTGAAATTAGAGGGAATTGGAAGCCTATTCCACCACTTTCTTATGTTTAGTTCAAGTTTTCTAAGGGAATTAGAATTCCTCATGGCTTTAACTTTCCATCAAATAAGGGAAAGTGAATTTCATCCTTTCTATGATCGAATTCAATTTCCTTGTTGGAGGAAATTGAAATTTGATCATACTACCCTCATCAATCTTATGGTAACTTATTCATATATTGAATAAAAATATTTTTTTATTTTGGGTCGGATTTCTAATTCATATATTCGGATCGGGTCGGGTGAAATTTTATTTTGATCGGGTCGAGTCGGTTTTTTAAGTGTGATATTCGGGTCGGGTCGAGTTCGAGTTTAAGGTGAAAAAATACCCGACCCGAAAATATATATAATTTTACCTTATATATTTAGGAATAATTATAATAATATTCCTCTATATATAATTTTTTTCAATTAAGTCACTGTTTTTATTGAATAAAAATAATTTTTTTATTATTTCGGATCGGGTCGGGTCAGATTTATAATTCATATATTCGGGTTAGGTCAGGTGAATTTTATTTTGGTCAGGTCGATTTTTTTTAAGTGTGATATTTGGGTCGGGTTCGGGTTTAGGGTGAAAAATACCAGACCCGACCCAAAAAATATATAATTTTATCTTATATATTTAGGAATAATTACAATAATACCCCTCTATATATATTTTTTCCAATTAAGTCACTGTTTTTATTGAATAAAAATATTTTTTATTATTTCGGGTCGGTTTTCTAATTCATATATTCGGGTCGGGTGAAACTTTATTTTGGTCGGGTCTCGGATGGAGGTTCCCTTGTTCTCGGGTCAGGTCGGGTAGACCAAAAACTCGATCTAATCCGACCTATGACCATCCCTAATTTAGATGATTTTAACTTAAGATGTTTATTAGCATGATTTTTATAATTTATTGAAATGAATAATCAATCAATAAAATTAAAATTTATTTTTTAATTTTTTTTATAATATATTGTTACATGTAATTTATAAAACAAACTAAAATTAAGAGAAAAAAATAAGAAGGACAATCTTATTATTTTATATTACTGAAATCAAATTCATCTGACATGTCTGCGAATCAAACAGAATATGAAATTATATTCCAATTCAATTTTTTGCCAATCAAACAGAATATGAAATTGAATTTCAATTTATGACAGATTCTAATTATTTCACAAAATTTTAATTCCATCAACAACATTTCAACGAACCAAACGTAAACTTCTAGAAAGGAAAGCATGTTGATTGTCGTAACCACCAAAGAAAGGGGATATTGTATCTATAATGATCATGCATTCCGCATTCCCATAAAAGAAAATAGTAAAACGTGCACATTGGATTTTAGCCACTGCATGTGAATTGTCGTTTTGGGATTTTAAATCTGGCATAATAATAAAAGGTTTAATGCCAGTATAACTGTCCAAATTATATCATTTGTGTCGGATAGGTGTCTATATTTTTTTGGTTCATCAGGGTAAGAATGGACACGGGTTGGGTTTGGGTCGGGTTTCGATTAATCCGATCCGACGTAAAAATTGTACACCCTCCATCATCCGACACGAAAAATGTATATCCTCCACCCTCGATCTAAATTCAATCTAATTTTTTGAGATAAAATTTAAACCCTACTCGATCCAAAATAATAATAAAAATATTATTTTTATTCAATAAAAATAAAGATTTAATTGAAAAAATAAGATATAGATGGGTATTATTATAATTATCTTTAAATATATTATTTAAAATTATATTTTTCTCCAGGTTGGATTAGGTTGGGTATATTTCACCCTAAACTATAACACAACCTGATCCGAACATCACCTTTAAAAAAATTGACCAGAACCCGAAATTTAAAAAAAAATGACCCGATCAAGTCTGATCGGGTCAGGTTCGAGTCCCATGTCCATACCTACATCAGGGTGCCTAACGTTACAAACGTTAGCACTTTAGGTGTTCGGGCAGACAACATTGTTAGTTTTTTCCGTTAAGTGACACGTGTTACAACTGGTAATTTTGAAAAATATATATATAATTAAAAAAATAAAAAAATATAATTAAAAAAACACACATAAATTTTGAAATAACGCTTAAACTTTGAAAACCTTCATTTCAACCTCTAAACCCACATCGATCGTCGCCCTTTGCCGTCGAATAAGCTCCACCCAACCTCCCCTCCGCCGACGACCAAAAACCCTATGAAATCGTGACCGATTGACAACCGATCAACGATACATCGATGTTTTAAATCCCGCAAACCCTATGATGAAAATCGTGATCTCACGTGATTCCAATGATGAATCGGCAACAACTATGGTTGTATATAACTAGGATGATGGCAAGGACTACATCGACGGCGGTGGTCATGGCTGGAGAGGGCGGCAACGACGGATTAAAGTTAGGATTTGAGATTTTGGGACTATTTTATAATATAAGAAAACTTAGGGTTTTTTATAAATATAATAACATTTTTAATATATATTTTTTTAAAAATAAATTTCAAAATTATCATGTTGTGACATGTGTCACGTAACGAGAAAAACTAAAAGGTGTTAACGGCCTGGGCACCTAAAGTGCTAACGTTTGTAACATTAGGCACTCGGATAGACCAAAAAAATGTAGGCACTTATTTGACACAAATGATGTAGTTTGGACACAACAAATATTTACACAAATGATCACTATACTTCTTTTTTTAGCATTTTAAACCTAAACATTCCATATTAGAATAAACCGTCTCCTATTGGATGAAAATTATTAATTAATTAATTGTTAATGTTTTGTTCGGACTTAGCAAATACATATGTGATGTCACTTCAATAAAAAAAATTATTTTTGGATAAACTAGAACTAATTACAAATGCACTTATAAAAATATATTTAAAAATAGTTTAATTTTTTTCTTGATAAAGTGACATCAAACGTGGACTTACCACATCAATAGGAAGCCTTAACCATTAGTCAATTAACGATTTTTATCCACCTAAGAACAATTTTACTCCAAAATAAATCGTTGATGGTTAAAATAAGTAAACAGAAAAGATGAGAAAATGATCATTTGTATAAATGTTAGATAATCTTATTATTATGTGTTTAAATTTATAGATTTAATCAAATTCAAATTTAATTATTTCTAATCAAATAATACGAGCACCTTAAGGATACAAGACAAATATTTACATTATCTTTAATTATTAGTATATTCAACGACTAGTAAACAACAGTTTAAAAAAACCTTAATGTAATCTTTAATATTTACATTATCAAATAATTTTGTTAATTTTTTATTTTACTGATTGTATTTATCTTAAGATTTTCTTCGAGTCTATTTGTATAATTTTTTTGTATTATTAATATACATATAATCATTGTAAATTAAGATTTTATTCGAGTCTATTTATATAAAATTTTTGTATTATTAATATACATATAATCATTGTAAAAATATTTCTGAATCCGTCAAGTAGCTGAGAGCCTTGGATTACCGTATCTAAGTGCATTTCTCCACTCCCTGGGAACCAACTTCACCCATGGAGCTAACTTTGCCACCGCCGGTTCAACCATTAGACCTCAAAACACCACTTTGCATCAAAGCGGTTTCAGCCCCATCTCCCTGAACGTTCAATACTATGAGTTCCACGATTTTCATTCGAGGTCGAAGACGTTGCGTAAACGAGGTACTAATCGATACCATCGGCCGTTTTGATTCAGATTCCGATGTTTTTTTTAGTATGATCGATTTGAATGATGTGTTTAGGTGGTGTTTATGAAACCTTGTTGCCGAAGGAGGAAGACTTCTCACGTGCCTTGTACACGTTCGACATCGGCCAAAACGATCTCACCGCCGGTTACTTCTCGAACATGTCCGTAGGCGAGGTTAAGGCTTATGTTCCCGATGTGCTCGATCAGTTCCAGACTATAGTCAAGGTTCGTAAACCAAACCTTTGTCGGCTTTCGACTGATAAACGCCCGCGTTTCGGATCGATTTATGTACTGATTATCAGGTTGTAATTTGTATGTGATTTGCAGTACATGTATGACATAGGAGGCAGATACTTTTGGATACACAATACCGGGCCAGTCGGGTGTTTACCGTACGTCATGGGGCGTATTCCAGTCCTGGCGGGTCAGATTGATAGATACGGATGTGCTTCACCGTTCAATGAAGTGGCCCATTTCTTCAACCGTCGAACAATTGCGCCGAGATTTGCTGCATGCTGTATTCACCTACGTCGATGTTTACTCGGTGAAGTATTCACTAATTAGCCAAGGAAAAAAGCATGGTGAGTCCATTTGATTTTCATAGTTACAAATGATAACAAGAATTCATCGAAATCAATCATTATATTAATAAAACCGAACTCGAATCGATGCTATATGTGAAAATGCAGGGTTCGATCAACCTCTTAGAACATGCTGCGGCCATGGCGGAAAGTACAATTACGACAAGAACTTGGGGTGTGGAGGAAAGGTTAATAAACATGGGAAGGATGTGTTAGTGGCAGCTCCATGTAAAGATCCTTCAAGTCATGTGAATTGGGACGGCGTGCACTTACGGAAGGCACTAATCGATACATATTTAAACACATCGCTGACGGTTCGTTTTCGGACCCTCCGAATCTGTTAAACATGGCCTGTCATAGGAACTAGGGAGTGGAATTCAAGTCTTGTTAGTTGTTCCTCAATGTGTACGCAAGGCAATGGAAGTGTTGGCTGAATCTGCAGCTGCATAAGTATTTGTACTCATGGAACAGGTTTTTACAGTTATTTGAAGTGACTGAAATCAATTATCATTTCCTTTACAATCCTTCAGCATCTCAAACAAATTACTGTGCGAGTTTTGTGGAACAAAATCAGCAACATTCTTCCCCCATGTCCATCATAAACGCATATTACCTTCATCCACACTGCGTTCCTCGAACCTAAAATCTTAAAAGAAAATAGCATCCTCTTTAATTACGCACCCACAATTATAGGACTGAATGTTTGGGTGATGGACCATCATGGGGCTATCGAATTTCCCTACTTCAGCCGAAGGTGTACTTTCGGAGCTTGTAATGAGCACGGTTCTCTCGGTGGCTCCATCGAAGAACATGGTGAGATCTTTACTCCAAGTAACGGGTACAGCTTCTTCAAATTTCAACATCGAAGACTCGGAAGAAGAGACGATGAACAAAACAAGGGTGAGGAGGGTATCGTTGACAAAGTTCAAGTCTTTGTACCACGACAGATGCTCCTCCCCCTCGTCGGATTCGGTTCCGGGAACCAACACTTGCTGCGTGTGTTTAACCGGGTTTGAAGCCGATGAGGAGGTGAGCGAGATGTTTTGCAAACATTTTTTCCCGCAAAGGTTGCTTAGAGAAATTGTTTGGGAACAAGCATAGTACATGTCCTCTATGTCGATCTAATCACTAGAATTAATGGAAAACAAGTTATTTTTAGTCAAATTTCGATCAGAAAAATACTTGGGTTTTGTTTATGTTTAAATTTCAAATAAGAATATGAATTTTGATTTTCTTTGCCTGGAAAAACCCCACACCAAACTTGTTTTAAACAAATTCAGTGCACTGCAAACACATCAAAAGACTTCCAACAAATTATCTTCCTGGAACAAATTAAGGAATTCAATATACATGTATGAGAAATTTGTCTCAACACAAAACTTCCCAGCACAGGAATCTGAAACAGCTAGAACTCGAATGAGGAAAAGTTATATACATACCTAAAGTTTCCAAGCATTCATCCAAGTCTCCAGTCACCGAACAATGCTGCTCGGTCACACGCCGCAGTCGTTAATTGTTCAGTTGAACTGTCTGATGAGCCTTTACAGATGACTAGAAGAATCACTCGTGTTCTCTCAAACAATTTCCAGGTAGAAGAAACTTGTGTTTATCTGCATTTTCTAGGAGATAGGAAGGAAGATGAACAGCTGAGAAGGAATGAGGAATAGGACCCATTTTCCCGATTATTTCCTTGAATGTGTACTCTTCCGGCAGCATGTCGAATAGATCGGCACCCTTGCAAATCACTCTCTGAACTCGTTTCGGGTTTAAAAAACGAGAGAACCTCACTCGATCGTTATGACTGTAAGCTTTCATCTTGAACACGAACTCGCTGATGCGACGGAAACAAAAACTGCAGTGCCACCCAGCGTCAGCCAAGATCTCATCCGTCTGCCGATAATGCACATACCTTGTTTTACCCGTCTGATACCGATGGACTGAAGCTCTCCAGCTGTTGTTATCTACAAGGAACTCGAAAGAATAAAGATAATTCTTCAACCGAAGATGAAGAACTTGTGGTATGTCATCACACCACCTGAGGAGATTGATCGTATGCCGGCTCGGAATCTCATCGACGTCCGAAACTATCAATAAGTCATCATCGGAAATTCCTGATATTTTGAGGAGCTGATCCAACGCTACCCGCTGCAGAGCCTCTTCAACAAACGGGTTTTCTCCTTTCTTGAACCTTCCCCCGATAGTTCCATAAGTCAACCTCGTTTCAACAAACTTGAACTGATCCCGATGGCTAGCGAAAACCATAGGCTTCGGGATTCCAGTAAACGTCAAATTAGACTCGAGAAGAACGAAATTCGTCACGTAAGGGTACAACTCTTGCCATCGAATGGTAAGAATATCGACTTCGTTGCTAAACAACACGGCATCGTAAACCCGTCTCGGAAATTCACGAATCCTCCAGCCATGGAGTTTGCAGAGTGTCTCCATCGATACATTCTCGTGATAATAATGGGGAATGTCATGAAAAGGCTTGGGTGGAGACTCCCACAGCGGCCGGAAAAAGTAAGAAATCTTCTGCCCGTGAATGTACACACCAAATATGCACGTCGGAGCCAGTATAAATAGGAAAATATAAGTCTTCATATCAATGCCACGCAGTATACAGCGGATTCTCGACAAGCTCAGCCGGCTTGATTCCTGTACCATAGAGACAATACCATATTACCATATTAGGATACATCATCGTACTAAATTGAGGCTGCGGTGTCATTCGGTTACGAATGTTGTGAATATCATAGTGACCTTGAAAAACGTTACAATGCGGTAATTATACTGCATTGAAAAATGTTACAATGCAATATTTACACTAGGTTGCAGCCCGAAATAGCATAATCACAGCACAATCGACCGAAATCGCGATAATCACAGCACAATCGAAAACGCATATATTTCGAAACGAGAATACTATAAATCCAGCAGGGAATCGAAGTAATCATCTTGAGCACAGTAAGCATAACAATTTCGAAAGGGAAATTGGGGGGGGGGGAGCAATGGAATAAATGCAGCTCATTTACAAATGGTAATTACCTTTTAGATTCTTCAAAAAGTAAAAAAGAACATTCCCAGGTTACTTATTACATCTTTACGATTTACCCAACGAAGAAATCAGACAAAAGCAATTCCAGATCGGTAACAAATCAACAGCTATGCTTTTCCAAATCCCCAAATCAAAGGCATTTGTTCAAAATTCAATCGAAACCCAGAAAACAACCAAATTAACAGGCGCAATAGCGAGCATCTAATTTCAACCCAAAAATTGAAACATAAACAAGATTATAAGAATGGTGAAAGTACCTGGCCGCAAACGTCTCCACAGATATCATCCGTTTTTTTGGAACAATAATGGCCTCCACCTTCATTCATCATCCACCACATTTTACAAAAGGGAATCTCGGAAAGAGAAATCTTTCAGGCCAGTGTTGCAAATAAGAGTGTTGCTGATCAACAATGCAACTATTGATAACAAAAGAAAAATTTCAAACATCAAACCCTAAAATCTAAGGTCGAACGACACGTATTTTTCTTCTTCTCAACTTTAATAAAGTTTAAGAAGTTATATTAAAATTTTTAGGAGGTACGGAGTTATAAAATTTTAGGGGTACGAAATTATATAATCAACAAAAAAATACAAAGAAAAAAAATCTAAAATATAAGAGAAATTTGAAAATTCTAGGAGTGCGAATGCATCCCAGCACCCCTCAATCCATCCCAATATGGGACTCAGTGTTTCTTCCTTGCATATTCGTTTTATGATTTAGGGTTTAAGTTTAAGATCATCATTTCTAATAATACAATCTTTAAAGTTATAAACCCGGATTTTAATTTACCTGTATTTGGATAATTATTAGTGTAATCGACCAACTTTTTCAACTATGGTGTAAAGCTTAAAGTTTTAAAGATGATGAGGTGGTAATTGGAGCATTGAAATCATTATTAGCAGAAACAAAGGCAAAACAATGTTGCCTCAGCCTTCATTCAAGCCTTGGATTTTCAATCTCTTAGCTGGATTAACCATCTTTTGTGCTACATGAACAGCAAAAGGGGGGGGGGAGTGCAGCTAAATCCCATCATTTAACAACTGCAAATTGTGAAACTTTTTCAAGCTTTAAAACGCTTATGTTTTGATTGACTAATTTCTCCCTACTTGTCCAATAACCACAGTAATGTTGTTAACAAAGTAATTATCGTATAGTTTGATTAAACATAGGACATATCCTGTTCAATGTCCATCATTTTGCTTTACCATATGGTTAATGATCGTGATTGAGATTTGCCATAGAGCCAAACTAGAATGTGAATGGATTGATATTGTTCCTCACTCAGTTGTGTGTATACGTACGTTGATGGGAACAAGTTTATCTTGTCGGACTGTTAACAATTCATTCTTATTAATTTGAATATAGAATCATGACCGTGAGATAACAACAATTAGACGATGTGTGGTATTCAGCATAGCGTTATTATAGTTATTCATTGTCAAAGATCTTATTCATGAACTGTAGCTAACTCGAAAGATATAAATTTCGTTCATTAGCCTCTTGAAACACAAGATTCCGGCCAACCCAAGCATTGAGTCGTGACGTACAAAATTTGAAGCCTTAAAAAGCTATTACAATTTACAAAACAGACAGACAGACAGACGGCGATATCACCACCAGCTTGTGTAAGATTCGCTCACTAGAAAATGACCAAACCAGACACCAGCTGCGTCATTTCAGTGTCTCAATTGTTTTATGATTTTTTATTACTATACACTTAAATGATGCACTTTATTAGAATTTCAAGCACCAAGATGAACAGATAAAAGAAGCTTGGATTCTGTGCATCTTCTGGTTAGTCGGTTTCCCAGAGCAAATCCCAAAAAGAACAAATGGAAAGCTGAGATTATAGGACGTAATGATAAGAGTATTCGATCTATTGATAGATTAATATAGATTAAATACTTTAAAGAATCTACTCGTCTTTCTTAATTCAATTTTCTTGGTTCACACATTATCATATTCAAACTCTAATTTTATTTAAAGAAGGCTTAATATAAAAATAAGTGATTGGGTTATGTCTTGAAAAACATTTTAGTGTTTAAAAAAATTCGCTAAAAGTAGGCTTGAAAAACGTTATATTTTTAGGTGTTCGGATATTAACCGTCATTAAATATCTCTATTAAGTTAAATGACACATGTCACATTCTGATAATTTTAAATTTTATTTTTAAAAAAATTGTAAAAAAATGCTACTGTTTGTTATGGAGAAGAGTTCAAAGTTTCGTCAGATTTTAAGTCATCGTTATTCTTCGATTTCGGCCAATTCCGACGTCCATAAATCAGAACGCCACCATCATTCGAACCACTGTGCTATTTTGATCAAAACCCAACCGTTAGGCAGCAACGATGATGGTCAGAGATGACCTCCGACTGTTTGGGTTAAGAAATTGAAATTGGGAATTAAGGATTTAGATATTTGGGATTTTAGATTTAGGGATTTTTGGTAACGGTAAGAACGACAATTGATCAATCGGTGGGTGATGACCGTTCGACGATGACGATGGTGGCCAGAGATGAACGGCGATGATTGGTAATGGAAGTTGAAATGAGAAATTTTACATTTTTAGGATTTTTTTTATAATTTCAATAAAAAGTTGGGTTTTTTATAAATACATTAAACTTTTTTCTTTTTTAATTAAAAATAAACGATATGTACTTAAAAATATAACTGAAAAAATATTAGACACTTATTTTTAACAAAAAAAAAAAATTAGACACTAAAATATTTTTTAAGACAAAACTTGAACAACTATTTTTATGTTAAACTTTTAAAGAATATAATAATTCATCCATCATGTAACGTAGGTATCCTTAGCTTTCCCACTAAATTTCAATATCACCAAATCTGCCAAAAGGTAAGCATCGATCGAGCCAACACAAGCCCCGCGTCTCGGAACTGGACCCTGGTCGGGTAGTTCTATTGTACTACAATTTAATATATGACTAAAAAAATATTATTATAATAATAATTATTATTTTAACATTTTTGATAAAATACTATTTAAAACATTAATTTTCTACTATAAATGTTAATTTCATTATTTAAAAATCGGTAGAAAAAAATAACATTTTAAGTAACGTTCAATATTAACATTTTCGATAGAAAAATAATGTTTTAGATAGCACCAAATTTTAACATTTTCGGTAGAAAAATAATGTTTTAGGTAGCGTTTTATCGAAAATGTTAAAAAAATAATAACATTTATGGTAGCGCATTTCCTTAACTGTATATTAAGGCTGTTGTACCTGAGTCATCCCCACCCTGTCAAGCCTAGGGTATGATAAATTTTTAATTCTTTATATATATATATATATATTAAGGTCAAGTTTTTTTTGTCCTCTCAATTTTAAGATTTTTTAATGATTAATTCTGGTTGACCCACATCACATACATAATTTTGGTCGATGAGTTTACTAGCGAAAATTTTCTACATACACAATAAATTAAACTTGAGACATTACTTAAACGATATCAAAATTCTTACCACCTGAACCAACTCCTATAGATGTTAAGGTCAAGCTTTATGAATAGAAAAATAATTTTAAAAAACTATGTATGGATCATATATATATATATATATATATTATATAATAAAAATTATACATTTAGGGTATGTTTGTTTCTTGTAATTTGTTTTTCGGTGTTTGGTTAGTGAAAAATAGATGATCAACGTAATTCATTTTCCTGATCAAGGGAGTTTCCTTTGCATTTTTTGGAAAATGACTTTCGAAGTGATTTTCCATAAGTTGTTTTTTAAAATTTTCATTTCAAAACAGAAATACTTAAAATAATATTATTTTATATATTTAATAATAATATACTATTTTAATATCATTTTAAAAAAGTATTAATTATTAAAATATATTATTAATGATTTTAATAATATAATATACTATATTTTTTTAACGATATATAATAAATTATTAATAAATTTATTTTTATTTATTGATTTCATAAAATAATATTATTAAATTATAAAGTCTATTTATTAATAATTTGTAGAATATAATACTAACAAATAATATTAAATAAATTGTTTTAATATTTTAAAAATAATTATATTAATTATTTTCTAATAAATAATATTATGTATTATACTTGATGTTTGTAACAAATAATTTTTAGAAAATTTAAGTACAAGTGGAAAATGGTTTACATGCATCATCCAAACAACCTAGAATGAATTCCAAAAAAAAAATTAGTAAATATTATTTTTTGAAATTCGTTTTCTATGAAACAATCTAACCTTGATATAAATATATCAGAATCTCTCTCTCTCTCTCTCTCTCTCTCTCTCTCTCTCTCTCTTAATGTGCAAAATGATGGTGAAATGGGGCACAGGTGGACCAAGCCTTTCTCTTTGCACGCTGGCATCGCATGCTCATAAGACTCATTGCCAAATTGAATCTTGGAATGGCCATAAGAAATTTACTTTCATCTTTGATTCTTTGTTTCGCTTGTCATCTGTTTGGGATTTGACCTAAAGCTCTTGTTAGCTTATTCATTTCGATTTCTCTCACCATTTTACTTTATAAAAAACTCAGATAAACTGAGAGAAACTACAACTCACTACCCAGAAAACTCAGCCATGAAGTTTATGAAACTCGGATCTCGACCCGACACTTTCTACACAGCCGAGTCCATAAGGTAAGATTCTCATGAACCGGTTCAACTCAGGGTTAAGCTTTGAATTTGATTTTCTCAAGAAATATACCATGAAAATTCATTTTCTTGTTGCAGGACTGTTTCTTCTGAAGTCCTTAGGGATCTTGCAATCGAAGTTAAAGGAACTAAATATCTGCTTCACAAGGTAAAAAACCTCTGTCTTGAGTCGAGTTGAATTCAGTAGTTGATTCTTTGCTTACATTTTCGATTTTTGATCATATGCAGTTTCCTCTGCTGTCCAAGTGTTTCAAGTTGCAGAGATTATGCTATGAAGCAACACAAGAGGTAATCCGGTTACCCGATTTCCCCGGCGGGATCGGGGCTTTCGAGCTTTGCGCTAAGTTCTGTTACGGCTTCACGATCACTCTCGGATCATATAACATCGTGGCGGCGCAATGCGCGGCCGAGTACTTGCAGATGACGGAAGATGCCGAGAAGGGGAACTTAATGTACAAGCTGGAAGTGTTCTTTAATTCTTGCATCTTACAGGGGTGGAGGGATTGTGTTGTGACGTTACAAAGCACCAAAGCGTTTCCTTTATGGTGTGAAGACCTTGGAATTACTAGCAGATGCATCGAGTCGGTTGCGTCGAAAGTTTTGACACACCGTTCGAAGGCGAGCTTGTCGCGTAGTCATTCAAGAAGGGTTGGTGATATGTCGTGTAACGGAACCGACAGCTGGCGGCATAAACCGATGACCAAAAGTTGGTGGGCAGAGGACATGGCTGAGCTGGGGATAGACCTTTATTGGAGAACCATGATTGCTATTAAATCCGGTGGGAAAGTACCCTCTAGTCTCATAGGGGAGGCATTGCAAATGTATGCATCTCGATGGTTGCCGAGTGTATCTCGGAAAGTGAAGGCTAACTGGGGACGAACATCGGATTCGGACTCGGACGATGACGTTTCTTCGAAGCACGGGCTGCTGTTGGAAACGATTGTGAGTTTACTCCCATCGGAGAAAGGCGCTGTCTCTTGCAGTTTTCTACTTAAGCTCTTGAAAGCTGCCAACGTTCTTGATGCTTCATCGAACTCGAAGATGGAATTGGCTAGAAGAGTGGCACTTCAATTGGAGGAAGCAAGAGTCACTGATCTGTTAATACCCTCTATCGGACTCGAGCGATACCGGTTCCGGTTACGATGTAGATATAGTCCTCACCATTTTGGAACAATTCATGTTACAAGGACAGAGTCCTCCTACTAGCCCTCTGAGATCGAAGGTCGGCCTTGAAAGGAGAAGACGGTCCCGTTCAGCCGAGAATATCGATTTCGAGTTTCTAGAAAGTAGGAGGTCTTCTTCAGCATCACATTGTTCCAAACTCAAGGTAGCCAAAATCATGGATGGTTATCTTCAAGAGATTGCTAGAGATAGTAACATACCACTATCGAAATTCATCGCAATCGCCGAGAGAATCCCCGACTTCTCACGGCCCGACCACGATGATCTTTACAGAGCTATTGACATTTATCTCAAGGTAACCAACTATTAACTAATAGTGTTTTTCCATGTTCTCGATTCATAAGTTTTTATTGTAGGTGTCATTTTGCCTACACAGGCACATCCGGATCTGAGCAAGACCGAAAGGAAAAAGCTGTGCCGCGTCCTCGACTGCAAAAAACTCTCGATCGAGGCCCGCGTGCACGCTGCACAAAACGTAAAACTGCCTCTAAGAGTAGTGATACAAGTTCTCTTCTTCGAGCAAGCTCGAGCCGCCACGGCCAGGGGGAAAGTGGCCGATCTACCTAGCAACATCAAGGAACTTCTAGCTGTCCATAACATTGATCCATCAAGGCCTCCAGGAACATTAAGCACTAGTACCAGCGTTCGAGCCGACGATCAATGGAGCGTTTCGGGTCTTAAGTCGCCCAAGTCAAGAACCTCGAGACTAAGGATGAAGCTCGCCAAAGACGACGATTTGGACGAACTCGACATGGTTACAGATGGAATGGGAAGACATTCTAAGTTCAAGGCCTTCTGTGCTTTGCCTACGGGGCCTAACAAAATGTTCAGTAAATTGTTGTCTAACAATAGAAGTGGCGGCGAAAAGAACTGAGTGAATTTTGTTTGTAAAGTATACTCTCTTCTTTTTCTTTCATTTTCTTCTTGTCATTTGAGTAAAATTCAATCAATTTGTTCAAGCCATAATATTTTCTCTGTCAAAAATAAAAATGCTTTTTTTTATTTATAAAAAACCGCTAATTTTATTAAAAATCGAAAACGGGAATACAATGAAACCAAATCTGCATGGCTTAGCTGTTCATATGGATTAATTTATATGTACTTTCCATTCTTCTTTTTTGATAATAAATTTTATTTTCAATTTAATCCCTCAATTTTTCAAAATTTTCTTATTTCTACCGTTCATCATTTTTAGTAAAAAATATTCTCTTCTTTTTATTTAGTCCCTTGACTTTGCTTTACTTATTTTGGTTTTTTTGACCAATTAGCATTCCACCTACTGATTTCCAGTAACTTTCCATTAACCAGGCTTATCAAATCCTGCGGTGAATTTCAGTGCCATTTAAAACCACACACTGCTAAACATGTTTAGTGTTTACTATAGCTGTTCGTGTATCAGTTTGATGAATCGTAGAATCAAGTTCATACGTGTCACGAGCTTTGCATGAACAGATCATTGATGCGGAGATGAATGGGAAAACCCAGCAAGAAAACCCAGAAATTTGATATCATACCCAAGTCTTGCCCAGCAGCAAGCTAATCAATAAAACATACGAAACACTATATATATATATACACACACACACACACACACAGAGAGAGAGAGTTATTAAGGCCATCATACATCTGAACTACTCGATGGATCATTCAGCAGTGGTAGTTGCAGTGGGAGAAATTTGCTTAGACTTGGAGTGAGAGTCGATGCTTTTGGTCCGCTTGAGACTGGGTGCTCGATGAAGCCTGCAGCGGAACGAACCGGGATGCGTGGTCGGAGAGCACAAGCAACTGGTCCTAGTCACACTCGGCTGTGCCGGTGCCGGTGCCGCATGAGCCTCCACGGTTTCAGCCTCCGGTGGAACCTCCACCTTCAGATCTGTCCTTGACATCTGCCCACCGTCCATTCCACCACTCGTTCTCCTGCCAAGTTTCAGTGATTAGCATCAACATGAAAATTACACGCTATTTGTGTAAAGTGAAGATGGAAATTACAAGAGTTCTTGAACGATCTTTGAAACAGAAGATGATGATGAGGTAGCTTTGAATTGGAGAAAACAGAGGATTATTGATAAAAGAGAATGCAATTGGATATGGCTACAAGTGTCTTTCCCCGCTCTGATCATCAGATTTCTAATCAAATCCATTTACCCTCCACCAACATTTATATATTCTTTTAATGCTTCAAGTAATGATATCCTAATTTCATCAATGTCCAGTATTAATATTAAGGGTAAATTATATGTTTAGTACCTAAAGTATCACTTTTATTCGGTTTTAATACCTAAACTTTCAATTTTTTCAAAATCATACCTAAAGTTTAATTCTTTTTCATTTTAGTACCCGCTGTTAAAAATTTAGGTACTAGAATGAAACAAGAAGTTAACAATGGGTACTAAAATGAAACAAAAAGTAAATTTCAGGTACTAAAATGAAATAAAAAGTAACAGTATGTATGATTTTGAAAAAATGAAAAGGTTAGGTACTAAAACGGAACAAAAGTGATACTTTAGGTACCAAACATGTAGTTTACCATAATATTAAATAATTGGGTAAATATCCCGTTTAGTACCTAAATTATCAATTTTTTTTTTGATAAGTTGAATTTTATTTATCCAAGTAAAAGTACATCAAACAGCACTCATCCCAAAACAGGGAGTATAAACACCAATATACAACAAAACAAAGTTAGTCTATACTCCAAGAAGTACAAAGTCTAGAATTTACATAATCAAGTCTATTAATATTTTTATCTTTAAGTTTGATCCGCACATGCTCCTTAATAGACTTGAGAAGATGATCGGCTGGTCTTGTTCCTCTGTTAAAGATTCTTCTGTTTCGTTCTTCCCATATGAAGTAAATAAAGGTCGTCCAAGCAATCCTCAATATGATGGAAAGCAAAGAATTTCCCTTCCATTTATGTGCAGCCCACTCAATTTGAGATTCCCAATTCCTGTGAGCATTTCTTATGCTTGAAAGCATCATAATAGAGTTCCAAAGAGAAGAAGCATAAGAACAGTCAATAAAAAGATGATTTCGGGATTCATTTATCTCATTATACAGAACACATATTATGTCAGAAGTAATGCCCATCCTAAAGAGTCTGTCACGAGTTGGAAGACGATCCAGAATAGCCATCAAAGTGATCATGCTGAATTTAGGAATATGATGAGGAAACCAAATCACTTTGTGCCAGTAAACCTTTTCTCTTGGAACTCTGATATCTTCCCAAATGTCTTTAGTACTCGAGATTCCAGCAGCAATCGTTGAGGTAGTATCATTCCTGAGTTTTAAAAGTTTTCTGATGGTCCAACTATAGGAAGTGGTAGCACTTATGTCACTTATAGCATTATTTTTAAAAACATAGCAGTAAATCCAAGCTACCCATAAAGATCCTTGTCCAACCAGAATTTTTCTGATAAGTTGAATCATACATGCTTTATTCCAAGAGCGAATGTCCTTCAAGCCGAGTCCTCCTTCAGATTGGGGCAACAAATTCGATCCCAGCTAATCCTAGCACCTTTGGCAGCAGTATCATTACCTTTCCAAAGGAATCTAGAGCAAAGTTGTTCAAGTCTATTGATAACTTTCTGAGGAAAGATAAATTGTCTATTCCAGAAGTTAATAACACTATGTAAAACAGTTTTAATAAGCTCTAGACGCCCAGCATAACTTAAATTTTTTCCACACCATTGATGAAGTCTTTGTTTAATATTATCAAAGAGAGGATGACAGTCTTTTTCAGTTATTTTCCTAGTGACCAGAGGAACACCAAGATACCTTACCGGAAGAAAGCCTTGTTTGAAACCAGTGGCGGATTTAATGGAATTAAGAATTCTGCTCGAAATACCAGCAGCAAAAAATTCAGTTTTGCTAACATTTAAGTTCAGACCAGATAGAACATAGAAATGATTGAGGACACTGATAACCCCCATAATAGAATCAAGGTTTCCTTTACAAAAGATTAAGAGGTCGTCAGCGAAAGCTAAATGGGTGATACCCAATTTTTTGCACTTAGGGTGATATCCATAAATACCTCTGGCAGCAGCAAGGTTGAGAAAATTAGAAAGAATATTCATAGCAATCACAAAAAGTGTTGGTGATAGGGGATCACCTTGTCTAATACCTCTCTGTCCTTTAAAGTACCCTATGAGGCTACCATTGAAGGCTATGGAGTATCTAGCTTCTTTGAAACATGTTTCAATCCAACCTATGAAAATATAAGGTAACCCTATGGCTTTAAAAATAGAGGAAATGAAATCCCAATTGAGGGAGTCAAAGGCTTTTTGTAAGCCAATTTTGAGAGCACATCAAGGAGAAATATTTTTCCTTCCATAACCTTTTACCAATTCTTGGGCAAGAAGAGTGTTATCAATAATGGATCTACCTCTCACAAAAGCAGTTTGGTTGAGTGAAACAAGGTCAGGCAGCAGCTCATTCATTCTTTTAACAATAATTTTTGAAATAGTTTTGTACACAACCGAGCAGCAAGATATAGGTCTGTAATCCTTCACTTTGCTAGGGTTTTGGATTTTAGGAATCAGGGCAATAATGGTGGAATTAAAAGCAGGAATGATAAATTATCAATTTTGATCTATTTTAGTATCTAAACTTTTCAATTTTTTCAAAATCATACCTAATGTTTAATTTTTATTTCATTGTGGTACCCGCTGTTAAAAACTTTATGGACTAGCTGACGGGGCATAACTTTGGTAGACAGACGACCAATCTGAATGGTGGACCATGAGACAATGACGAATCAACCAACATAATCCTATTTCAGACCCTTCAAACTATTGATGTTGAATATCGGAGGATTAAGAAGTCGAAGAGTCTATCGTTGATTTAGGAAGATTGAAGTATTTTTGGGTGAAACGGAGATAAAAATCATGTTCAGGGGATCGAAAAGGTACGAGCTAGAAATTAAACTTCATCGATCGACGACTGTAGACGTGGCAGTCGATGAGTCCGTCCATTAAATTTTTAACGGTGAATACTAAAATAAACAAAAGCTAAACGTTAGGTATGATTTAAAAAAATTAGAAGTTTAGATATTAAAACGAACTAAAACAAACTAAAACTGGTAGTTTATGTACTAAACAGGTAATTTACCCTAAATAATTATTATAATAAATTTAATCTTAATATATATATATATATATATATTATCTGATTTATTGATGTGTATATTGAATTATACACTGTCAATATATCATATATTGGTATTTAATTATTATATTATAATTAAATATTAATAAAATCTAAATTGAGGTCAATAATATTCATATTTTTATTAAAAAAATCATGAGATTAGATTATGACCCCTCCCAATAATCTTATGGTGGGGGTTCCTTTGTTTTAGTGGCAGACATTCTCGTGAGTGTTGATGGTCAATAATATTTGTTTTTATTAATCAAAAAGAATTTTAAGTATTTCTATAATTCTTTGTATTTAAAACTTTAACTAATTAAAATCTAAATAATTTGCATATTTTATTCAATTCAGATTAAATTAATTTATAGAAAATATTTTTTAGAAAAATATTTTTAATAACAATATTATGTTATTTAAATTAACCTTGATCAAAGCCTAAGTCAAACTTTATCACTCATTTATAATGTTTATTATCAAATCACATTATTTTATAAATCATTTATTAATTAAATAATCACTTCTTCGTTTAAAAAAATTAAAATTCGCAATTTAGGATTTATGATTTTTAAAAATTAAATTTTAAAATATACGACAATATTTAAATTCTAATTTATGGGTCATTGTTTTAATATATTCTTTTTTTTTAGGCTCAAGGATGGGCAAAACTCGTTTTTATTAAAAAAATGATCTCAATTTCATTAATTCAACTCAACTCTGAAATTTTAAATAAATTTGGAACGATAAAATATGATTCAATGATTCGACTAGCTCGAAATTTGTTAACTCGATTCAATTCGACTAAATCGAATATTCATTCTTAATTTCTCATTCATTTTAAGTTCATTTTTTTATCAAATTTAAATTATATTATCTTCTACAACTATAGAATATATGTGTAACTCTAATTCTTACTTTTAACAATAAATTTACTCTTTTTATAATTTAATCCCTCGACTTTACATTTTATTTCATTTGATTTTTACTATATTTTTATATAATTTTTTTCTTATCATCCATTTCTTAAATCCTTTATACTCCTATCAGTACTTTGTCCCTAAAATACCTATTTTAAAACAATAAAATTATAAATATATTTTATAATTGTAGATGGTATTTGATTTACTAAATAACATTGCAATGTAGAATAAATATCGATAAATATATGTATATGAAAGAAGACCTTAAATTAAAATCAATATATACTATAATTTTATAAATTATTAATTAAAATTGAATAAAAACTCAAACAACTTACCATGATTGAATTCAAAATTTTAACATAAATACAAAATTTAAAAAATAAAATATAACTTATAATTTAACTCAAAAAAATTCGACTCAATTCAATCAACTACACACTCTTATATGAACTCTATCGTTTATATTCCAGCAATTTTTTTTATTTATGATTATGTCCCATCGTGTTATATTATATATATGGGCGGTTGGGACATGACAATCCACCCACCTAATATATATATATATAATAGTTGTGATCCCGATTTTAAAGCTTCACATTAACTAGTTCCGATTAATCTGTATCACACATTTAATTTTAATAGATAAGCATACGGATGGACATGGGTCGGTTTTTTAGTCCACCCGACTCGACCCGATAAGAAGGAGACCTCAACCCGTGACCCGATCCAAAAAAATAATTTTTCACTTGACCCGAACCGATAGATAGTTTAAAAACCCCGACCCGAAATAATAATAAAAATTATTTTTATTCAATAAAAACAGTGACTAAATTAAAAAAAATAATATATAGAGTGATATTATTATAATTATTCCTAAATATATAGGATAAAATTATATATTTTTTCAAGGTCGGGTTTTTTTACCCTAAACCCGACCTGAACACCACATAAAAAAAATATGACCTGACCCGAACCTGATTTTTTTAAAAAAAAATCCGACTCGATCGAGTCTGGCCGAAACCCATCGGGTTCGGGTTAGATGTCCATCCCTAGATAAGCATCTTAG